AATGTCGCATTGATCACAAGCAACGTGGTAGTACTACTTCATGATAACCAAAGAAAAGTATGGTCCCCCTTGAACGTTGTTCTACTAAATATTGAAACTATAAGTTGCCATTCTTTGTTTAGCAAATGGAATATGTTAGGCTTTAGCCTCAGTTCCGGTTATTCCTTAGTTAATTAGATGAACCTTTTCAGTCTTTGTGGATAGCTAGGAGGCGGTTACATCTTAGTTCATGAAAATGAAATGCTAAAAAATAAAAAGTGATCTTGTGCATGGCCAATCTATGCTAGGATAGAAGGTTCCGTCAGATTAATTTTATATTTCAATTCAAGTCCCTTTTTTTTTCTTGTTTAAAAAAAGGAAAATATGAGGAGAAATGACGAGAAGATATTAGAACATCACTTTAGAAAAGATGATAAAGGCAAAGGGTTCATATTGGCCATGGTACTAGAAAATGGGATCCTAAAATCAATGTTTTGAAATCGGACCAACCCGATCGATTCGACCGGTGAAACCGCGAACCGACCAGCCATGTCTCCGGTTCAGTTCAATTAAAAAATCCAATAATTAATTGAATCGGTCAAGAATCGATTGAACAGATAAAAAATCGAAAGGTTCAATTGGGTCAAACCATGAATCGAAAGATTTTTCGATTCACTCTCCGGTCCGGGTTTTAAAGCACTGCCTAAAATGCCATCTTATATCTCTGCAAAGTGTAAGGGCATTTATATTATAAATCTTGTTAGAACTGCTCGTGGTTTATCAGAAGTTTGTGATTTGGTCTTTCAAGCAGGAAATCAAGGAAAACCATTCTTAATTGTTGGTACAAAAAATAAAGGGAAAATCGTCCAAAACGTCCCTCACATTTTGTAAAATGACTTTTTTCGTCCCTCACTTTTAAAAGTGTAATTTTATGTCCTTTACATATTCACATCGGTCAAATTTAGTCCCTAACTAGATTTCCGATCATTTTTTTGCCGGAATCCATCACGTGCAAGGCACGTGATCATTTTTTAAAGGTAAATTTGTCAAATTATATTTTACATAATCTAATCTATAGTCCTCCACATTTTATAAAACAAATTTTTTCGTTCCTCACATTTCATAAAATGATTTTTTCATCCCTCACATTACACAAAATGAATTTCTCCATCCCTCACATTTAAAAAAATGAATATTTCCATCCCTTACTAATTATGCGTGTAAGGGAAACCTTAAAAAAAAATATGTGTGTGAATACATTTTTATTTAAACACATATATATGTCTATTTGATTTTGCTTAATAATACGAATAGCATAAATATATGTATGTGTCTATTTGATTTCACTTAACAATATGAATACCATATATTATACGTGATCATTTGATTTTATCTGGTATTAGCTAGTAAAAAATCCTGCATTCATTGTCAAGTTGGCCAATAAAGCTATTTTCGGTCAAAATACAATAAGAATATGCAAATTAAGGTTCTATTGGTAAATATTAGTCATAATCATACAAAAAGAGAAGATAGCCCACAAGTTGGGCCCAATTACATACATGTGTTTATGCTATTATTATTAAGCAAAATCAAATAGACATATACATGTGTTTAAAAAAAATGTATTCACACACATAATTAGTGAGAAATGAAAAATTCATTTTTTGAAATGTAAGGGATGAAAAAAATTATTTTATAAAATGTGAGGGACGAAAAAATTTATTTTATAAAATGTGAAGGACTATAGATCAAATTATGTAAAATATAATTTGACAAATTCACCCTTAAAAAATGATCACGTGCCTTGCACATGATGGATTCCGGCCAAAAAATGATCGGAAACCTAGTTAGGGACTAAATTTGACCGATGTGAATATGTAAGGGACATAAAATTACACTTTTAAAAGTGAGGGACGAAAAAAGTTATTTTATAAAATGTGAGGGACGTTTTGGACGATTTTCCCAAAAATAAAGCAGCCGATAGAATTTTTACCAAAGAGGTTTAATTTTTTTTTTCCCAAGCCAAGATAGCGTTTAATAGGTGAATTATAATAAGATTAACCCGATACTTATCTGTAGATACGTGTAAACATATTTGTACGCACGCAAACACATACTTATTGATTATTGCTACTTACACACTTCATGTATACTTTATTTATGTTTTTACTTGTATATGCGTGTGCACTTATATTTATATATCTATTCTATTTACCTATACAGTTATATTTCTACAGTTTTCTGCTTGGTTATTGTATTACTGATCCTGTATTTATGGTTATTGGGTGTATTTTCACTTACCAATATATCCATTTTCATATGCTTTTTTTTTCAACGGCAAACGGGAAGAAATGCCATCCCTGTTACTGTTATTATATATATATATTAACAATGGAAGAGGAAAAGAGGGAGCGTTTTTGGATTATGAAATTATGAGAAGTGGAGAGATGTTATAGTCGTAGCACGCAAACAACTTCGTCTGATTTTCGTCTCGTCTCATTAGCTTTAGAAGTTAGGGTAAAGAGTAAAAAAAGCGAGTAGAAAACAGAAGCAGCAGGCCGACACCGCCTCTTTAGAACTTAGGCAAGCAATAAATTGGAGCGGCCTACCCATCTATCATGGCATATACTATAATGCACGCAAGCTACTTGTTCTGATGAGGAAACAATCAGAATACATGACACATGCTAGTACTTGAAAGTACAATGTATGTACATATTGAAAGGTCACAAAAGTTTCACTTGCCCGGGACCATGCATCATGCATGGAGAGATCGTATCGTATGTACTTATTGTATATCAACTCAAATTTCCATGATTTGTGTTGTGGGTTCAATTTTGATGAGTGAAAATGATGGCCCCGGGGGGGGGGGGCGTACAGGTAATATAGAGACGGACGTGCATGTGGGAGATAAGAAGCAGCACATGCAGTGAGTGACGGGCACGACTGTTTTGTGCAGGCTGTTCTGGATAATATATCCAAAGTGTGTGTCTTAGCAATGGCTCTGTGTCCATGTCTTGGGATCTTTCCATGTTATTTGATGACCGGACGCCTTTGTTCTTGTCTCCAGTCTTTACCCTTCACATTCCACTCTACCATTTTCCCTCCCCACCACCCAAAAAAAAAAAAAAAAACCATTGCTTCACTGACAACGACTCTGATTACTGAAAGGAATGTCAGGATAAGATAAGTCGGCCGTGAAGTATAAGCCATATATGCTGATTACTGAACCACATAACATTCGGCACAGCTAGCAAAAAACAAGGCGGAGGAGTTGAGCTGAACATGGTGCCGGCCGGCCGGCCAACTAGACTAGAGGTGAGTCTAGAATAGATGGGCGAATGGCCCCATCCCTCGGATCGACCATCGGTCCGTGGGGTTGCAGCCTGCCATGCTTCAGCCAAAAGGGAACACAAAGTATTTGTATTTATTGTAGCGAAATAACCAGAAGGAGAAACTTCATATGAATGAATGCGCAATTTGAAGAACACCATGTATAGAATGGATATGAAGAATGATAAATATATATACTTCCATAGGTATATCAAATGAGAAAGACAGTCTCAAACAATAAGTGTACTCTTGTAACCGAAGAGATATCCATGTTACCATCAGCTGACTGGAAAAATTAGCAGAGAGGGAGAGATAAAGTATGAAATATGCACGTAGTACTTGGCCTCTGACCGCAGGACAATGGTAATTATTTCCTTAAAAAAAAAAAAGAGAAATCAACTTGTTAGCTGGACACGTCCCTAGATCCACTACAATAGTTCAGCAATTAATACGGACCATTCTACAATTTGTCGAAGCATTTTGCTGCATGTTATTTCCAGAAGCAATCAAATGAGGATGGTAATTATGCGCGCTTTTAAAAGTCGTTCATTTTGCATAACGTGCCGGCACGAGCTTTCACTCTTTTACGTTCTACTACTATTACTTAATGATGATCTCAAAGAAAGCGTTGATCTCAAAAGAGTTATTGGGAGCTTAATCGCTTAATAATTAAGGGAAAACATTAAAAGTCTCTGTAATGAAACATCAACTCATGGTGTATGCTCCTGGTGCCATATTTTGGTTACAACTCACAAGTTACAAGAAAGGTTGCTTATGAACTTTGAAATCGACACTACAAGATATATTCTGAAACCACCACCCCCCCCCCCTTCCAAAAAAAAAAAAACTACATGCTATATCAGTTTGTCCAAAGGCTCAACTTCCTTTCTGTGTGGACTAGTTAATGAATTAAATACATAGCTCTATGCTCGGTCAAAATGAATAGGATGAATTGGGCTGTTAGCCAATTAGTTTTTTTTTTTTTCACTTGGGGCTATCTCAACTTTTCGGCCAGACTAATCCCCTAAAACTATATAAACCCTTGCTCCAAGAATATACAGTAAGGCAGCACATGGAAGTCGATCGCGAGATCTATTAGTAACTAAAACTATGAAACCAGTCGGATTACCCGCGGATGGCCTGTTAGCCAATTAGTTGGATGGATACTTGATTTATAGTTTACTAATTTTGGAGTTCAATTAAACTCGCTATTGATAAAATATTATGAGAAAAAAAGAGAAAGAAAAACTTAATTGTAGGTTCACTTATTTCATTGGATTGATAGTACATATTTTAACTACTTGCAATTTACATTGTTTAAGCTTTCAATAAAATTAAAAGGAGAAAAGGTATAGTAATTAGTAATTCCAGTTACTTACTGTAGAAGGCAGATCAAATTTTTGCAGTGATTCTTTAGTCCTTCAGCACTTCGCACCAAGAAAAAGATAGCACGATATTTGATCAATTCTCATCTCAAATTCCTAACTAACCAATTGATTGCACGAAGCGTTGACCTCGTGAATTTATGTGCATGCTCAGATTCAAGATAGCCAGTCCATCGTTAACCAGGGAGGGAACGTTGTCAGGCCCTAATCACGGGTTGCAAGTGCTAAGAAGCTCAACTTTGCTTCTCCACCTCAATTTTCGGAACCCAGAGTCCACTAGATTCCGTGATTCCAACTAAGAAGCCGAACGATGTCATCATCATGGGCTACATCTATATAAATATGCATGAATGGGGCAAATGTATTGAGAACTTGCACTGGGCTACGACCCAAACCATTTGCAACAACTTTTCTGAGTCTGCTGGTGTCTCATCAATGGCGAACTTCTGTTGTTCTATTGAATTGGAGCCCAGAACCCTGAGACAGGGGCAAATCGACCAAGCTAGGGTCAAGTCTCTTTCTCATGGTGTTTTTCCTCCATCCTTTTTTTTTTAAAAAAAATGGAAGTCTAATTACAAGCTTAGCTTCTTTCATTTTTCTTGTAACAACAAGTGGATTACCCAAAATCTTGCCATTTATTAAGAATGATAAATAAATAACTACTATCTTCGTTCATTTGGTTGAGATTGTCGGATCGATTTTCTTTTGGATGACTAAAGCATGGCACGAAAGACACTTCTTACATATGTTGTTTTAAATGTTTTGAGTGCAGGAAGTTGCTGTCGATATAATGCAGAAGAAGGAACAAAATGAAGCATCTAGCATTTTGGTCGAGGTAGGGTTGTGCTGCCTACTGATGAACCGCGTCATCATGAAACTAGAAAAACATCCATTTTGCACCAAAGTTACTATCAAGTTTCTTTTTTCGGATTGATTTTCAATTTTAGAAAGATGGATGATACGAAATATGTGTGGTAAATTTTCAGGGACTGAAACCAGTTGCTTCAATAAAGGAAATGGTAATGGCTGTGCAGGAAATAGACATGCTACACGAAGAGGATGAGGCTAAGGACAAGATCATCAATAGCATAACTGAGACATGCTGCCAATGTTCAAGCATTTCTACCACGATTGATTCTCCAAATCAGTCTCTGCTTAAGGAGCCTGTTTCCGCTCCCTTCTAATTAAATATTAAATAGCACCTTTATTCAACTTTAAGAAAGGCAATCGTGATTGTTCTTGTTCAATCTTGGAAAGTGCTCGTATTATTTTTTTTCTTTGGAAAATTGTATGTATTTTCAATAATGACGTTCGAACTTTGCTAGAAAGAAAATCAATATGGTCCGGTGGGTTGGAACTTGGAACTTGGAACGCGCCCATTCACAAAAACTGAAGTACTAGTGTTACCTGAAAAGAAGATATCGAGCTATAATTGGTAGTTGCCAATAATATTCAATATTAGTCCGAAGCAACTTTACAAATGTATGCGTCCGTGCAGGAAACATCAAACAAGAGCAACAGAGTTCTGATTTTGGACAAAGTTAATCTCCACAAAATAATCCCACCAAGCAAAAAGAGATTAGTGGAACAATAATGGATGACATACACTAGGGTTGCTGCCAAACAAAAGGCATCAAGACTTGGCAACAATTTTTATTTTAATTTATTCTTCGGGTCACTAATTCAATAGTAGAGTACTCGACTTTTAAGTGCAGCTAGTATCTTTTACACATTTAGATGAAACCAAGGATTCAACTATATACCATCGGTAAAGTATGGAAGACCACGACTGATTCTAAAAGGGAATGAATGGAAAAAACAGTATGCCGAATTGAGGAAGAATTTTGAGAATATTTCATTTTTATTGGATCAATAAAAAAGAAACCTAGTTCGAATGCTTGGAATGGAAGAAAATAAAGTTGGATTGAATGAATAAATGAATAGGGTCTCGCGGTTTCAATTATTTATAGGAAAAGATAAATGATCAACTTTGGAGGTTCGATTTTTTGTTGTAGTAAGAAAAAAGGCTTTTGGGAGGGGAAGCGGACGGGGTGGGGTGGAGAAGAAATCAAAGTCAATTGATTTGTTTGAGGATAAAATGCAAATGTATTGCCTCATGCGGGACAGAATTTCATCATTAACAACACATAAGCAGCCAACGTTAGTTTGTGGGATTGAATTTTTTTACTTACTAATAGTAATACATTTTGTACATGGTTGCAATTAGGGAAAAGAGTTCCAATGGCCCTCCAACTCTTTCACAGATAAAATTTTAGCCTTCCAATAATTAACAATAAAGGTTTGGCTCTCGATATAATAAAATAACATATTGGTGACCCTTCTGTCAAATCCAGCAGTTAAAATTAACAGAAAGTATCATCTCGTGAGATGCGTGACCAAATATCAAGGGTATTATACTCTCTGAATGGTTTACCAGGCACCTCCATCCCACCTACCCCTCCACCACCCCACCACCTGTGTCACCGCCACTGCTGCCGTTGCTCTTGCTTCAACAATGGGACTAATCCAGCAGCAAACACTCTCCTGTGGTTCTCAGAACATAGGAGGAGGCCGAATATCGTAACAAGTGCATTCTTCTTGCCACGATCTGTCCCATTCCTGAGAAGCTCCACTAGAGAAGGAATTGCATCTGGAATCTCCCCAATTAGTTGCCGGTATTCTTCAACTAAAGCAAGGTAAAATAATGCACCAACTGCATGCTGTCGAGCTTCCACTTTCAGTCCGCACTTCAAAACATCAAGTATCAAAATCAAACCTCCATTCTCAACAATTATTTTCCTGCTTTTGGAATACTTTGAAAGATTTAACAGAGATGCCAAGGCATTCTCTTTGCAGCGATGGATCGCATGAAAATAGAAGATTCAACAGAGACGGGATTGCACCAATTTCAACCAAACAAGACCGATTAAAAATGCTTGTTTTGGTGAGCAAACGAATCTCATAAGCAGCTCAGTTCTGCTCTTGATTATTGCAACCCCCAAGCTTGCCAACGAGAAAATTAGCGAGTAATCGCACGGCCTACTCAGAAACTTTGCTACCTGCGATAACTGCCTTTGTAACATCATGGCTACGCCCAACTGAATCAGCAAAGTGGATGCCTTTTTCTAAGCAAAATCCCTTGATATCTGCTTCAGAGCTGAATTGGGCACAAAACCTGTGCAGAGAAACCTCTAGCCTATCTTGGGACAGGTGCAGTTTCCAACTCTGAACCATCCTGAACTTGTTCCTGTCGCATGAAATAATGCTTTCCGTCAATTTTAACTGTTGGATTTGACAGAAAGGCCACGAATATGCTATTTTATTAGATCAAGGGCTAAACCTTTATTGTTAATTATTGAAGGGCTAAAACTTTACGTGAGAAAGAGTTGGAAGGCGTCGAACTCTTTTCCCTTGCAATTATGTACGAAAGGCTATAACAGTCATTTCATTCCAAACTTCGAAATTGAAAATTCTCGAGGTCTCGTTTCTTAGCGTTGAGCGGACGCCTTTTACCCGTTTGAATCTGCTGATGAAAACTGGACGAGTGTAGGGTTTCATCCCCCTGCTTTACTCGCTGCTGGGGTAACTCAAAGTCCCGGTATTAATCTCCTAATCAAAGGCCCCAAGCAATATTCCACCACTTCACTGCCTCATTAAAGGTAATCCAACTATTTTTTTTTTATCTCTTTTCGCTGATCTTTCGGCTGGAATTTCCTGTAATTGATTCAACCTCCAGCTGATTTGAGTTGCTTTCCCCTTAGTTTAATGGTTTTTTCCCACATAATTTGGAGCTTATGCATTTTTACCCCGAATTGAAAACTGATTATAATAGCTGCTCAATAGAGGTTAATTTCTCTTGATTACAAAATTGGCGTATGAATTCGAATTTATGCCAGTGGTTTACAAATCCGTTTAAATAAAAGTGAGCGATTAAAATAATTGAAATTGAGCTAGTGTTTTTTTTTTGTTGTAGAAGGTGTAAAATAGAAATGAGCACAACAATACAGAGAACTCCCAAATCCGGGAGGCAGTCTTTATTCTTCCATGATTTAGCTACACCGGTTTCATCTAGAAAATCTGGCGGAAAATTTGCAACCCCGGGTCAGGCAGCCGCTGTATCGGCCCTATGGCGTGAGAATTTTGCCAACTCTGATCTTCCGCCTCCACCAATGTTCACTCTTGAAGACCGGTCGGATTTATCTCCAGAATCTGGAATTCCTGACTATCCAGTTTCTCCTGGGGTCGGGTCAGATCCAAGAACGCCACTGAGTAGTTTTGGCAGGGAGTTTTCAACTCCTAAGAGCAAGTCTGGACCCAGCACTTCTTATGCTACGACCATGGGAAAGCAGCAGCAGCAGAGTCAGCAAACCCCAGTGGCAAGTTTGAGTTGGTGGTCGCCTTCGAAGAGTGGTGGTAGTACTGAGCAGGAGGATAAGGGAAAAGGCTCGCCTGTTGAAGGTGTAGTTCAGCCTGGTGCATTAATTACCCTCCCACCCCCTAGGGAGGTTGCTAGACCGGAGATGAAGAAGAATTCAGTTCCCATAGGTAGCCTGGACGAGGAGGAGTGGGTGACTGTCTATGGGTATTGCTTCGTTTCTCATGTCTCTTAAATTTCCGAACTATTGTTGAACTTATATTTGGATTAGTTTTGCTAAGACTGAATCAGTTGATGGAAAAAAGCAACAGCCTAGGAACATAGCTTTCTACATACTGAAGAGTGTTGACATCTTCTGGAGTGTTACATTTTATTACCGATCTATACTGTGGTAGTCAGTATATTTAAAATACAGAGGTAGGTTTTCAGAGGATCATAGTCTCTTTGGAGTCTGTATGTCCTTGGCAGCTCCTGCCAATAAACCTCCTGAAGGAAAAAGCTAAAAAAATGTTTACATCTAGTTTTGTCAAAATTGGGTGAAATGGCTTGATCAATTCAGTTATGTGTGTGGCATCAACATTTTCAATTCTAGATGAAAATCTATTTGGGAAGTAGACTTGGTTAATGGATCTAGGGTAAACTTTCATAAGCAAAGTTGTCTGATGGGGACTATATGATATCAGTCATGTTGCGCTGTTGGGTAATCTGCTTCTGGTACTTTTCTTTGTCATCGTTTATCACTTTTTCTTAATTAGACATTTCATCATATAGAGATAATATGTTATTTTGGCCACATATTTAAATGTTATTGATCCCTAATGTATCTTATCAACCATTTGATTTTACAGATTTTCTCCAATAGACACCAATTTGGTGTTGCGGGAATTCGAAAAGTGCGGGGTGATTCTGAAACATGTCCCAGGACCAAGAGATGCTAATTGGATGCACATTCTCTATCAGGTAGCTGAATATTACGATAAGGTTAACAATCAAGGGCTCCTTGGTTTTGTATTAAAATGGTCTAGTTCTTTTAGTGTTGATGGCTTCATGTTGCACTAGGATATGGAGTGGAAGTTCTTGTTTTTTCATTTTGACGCATTAAATTCTTTCCCCTTGGCAACAAAAAATGGTGGTCAGAGCAAGTACTTGTTTAACAGAGAAGACGTTGGAATTCTGAATGTGTCCGTGGCGTTACTTTACAAGAATGCCTTAACAAGTTCTTTTTTCATTTTTACTTCAGGGGAGAAAACAGTTTTTTTTTTTCCCCTTTTATCATCTGCTTTCTTTATGGGCTTTTGATACTGCAATTGTCCTTAGAGAAAGCATGAAATATATCTTTCCATTGACAGAAGTGTTAGAACTGGATTGTCTGTTCATCTAGGAACACCAGGATACTTTTGCAGCTTGCTTCCAAGATTTATGTTGATTTCTCACTTGTGTTGATTTCTGTTGCAATTCACTGTCTTGTTAGATAGCTATTTTCCTGTATCTTTTGTTAAATGATTTTGGAAGGAATGGCTGGACATAGACCTGCATTTTGTTCACCTTCACTAGTGACTGCTTTGTGCCAAGTCCTCCTTGTGATGATTGACCCTGTAGTTTTAATCTTACTTTGTTCTCTGATATTTGGAAAAGTAAAAGCAGCTGGTTTCACTTCTTTATTGCTACACACAAATAATTTAGACTTTTGTCATGTAGTCCACAGAATAGTTGCAGCAGATCCTTGAGCTGAAGCTTTCAAGAATTAGTTCAATATCTATACTTTTGGCAAATACATTAATCTACCTTGCTTTGTAATTCTAACATAACGTCACTGCCTTGCGGTGCAGAATCGCGCTGATGCTCTAAAAGCCCTCAGCAAAAATGGGATGCAAATAAATGGAGTTCTCATCATTGGGGTGAAACCTGTGGATCCAATGCAACGCCAGGCTCTGAATGAAAGGATCAACAATCTAGGATTCATGACTTTACCTCCTGCACCGTCTAATCGA